CAGGGGGAGTATGAAGGACAGAATTTCGGCTTTACGTCACCAGACAATATGGACAATGGTGGCTCCCAAAACCTCACTAAACTCACTACAGCAAACATGGAGGACATGGAGGAGTATTACAATTTCGGGAAGGATACTAACACCTACACTACACCTTGAGTGCTGATGAACCGGGAGAACATGTTGTGCTTTTTCTTGAAGGCTTAAGGAAACTGCAGAGTTGTTGTCAAGGCTTTGGGAGACACTGGGGACGGGGTTTTACTTTCAGTTTTGGCCTCCTTCCAGAAGAGCCAGAACTGACGGACTCTGATGGGAGGCCAGGAAGGAGACGCACTTCAAAGGAGACGTTTCAGCTCTGTTGCTGATAGCAGAGACACTGAAACTGTTGACGCCGGTCTGGAGCTCCTTTTTTTTTGGAATTACCACGCTTAGCGACTCAAAGACTCTCACTGGCGGACGGTCAAATCTGTATGTTGTGTGTATGTATCAGTTATTTGGAAACAAAAAAAAGAAAAGTTGCAGAGCCATCCGTTTCATTTGATGTGATAGAAATCTGTTTACCATTTTGCCATTTTTTTGTCATTCACAACCAACGTATGCCCTTATATTTTTGACTGAAAGTGCCAGCTAGATACATTTGCAACTAAGCTTCCACCGTGTCAGCTATTTACTCACTGTATATCGAACTTTTGATACATAGTCACAACATATTCATAGGTTTGAATGCTCTTACTAAACAGTTCCTAAATGTAGTTACCATTCCTGCTTCGCCCTCAGTTTAAACAGGCCGCTCTTTCAATGCGTGGAGGACATTGTAGCCTTTCTCTTGCCAGGGCACTTACTACCAAAGTTGCTACTGTCACATGGCGGCTGAAACCAGAAAACAGTGTGACCGACATGCAAAGCCCTCTCACTGTACAAATGATTCTGCAACATGCAGCGTGTTTACCCAACGTTTTTTGTCTCACATGGTTTAGCTTTACATTAATAATCTATCCCGTGTAGTGAATATACTGCTCAAAGTTTTTGAATTACTGAGTGAACAATACAAAGCACTTTTTCATTGAGACCTGTCATTTATTTTCTGTGAAGACTATCTTCAGATTGAACTCTTTTGCCTCAAAGAGAAGAGCTGGGGGGAAATAAGATCGTAGAATCTTTCAAACCCCCACAACGGCAGTATTATTGAACACAGATATGCTTTCTCAGTAGGTTTTTTTTTGTAAACTGCAGTTTCCTTGATATGGATATTTCACAGTTGTCAGTTTAAATGTGAAGTGAAGAATGAGCAGTTTGTACGGAGACTCAGCAGTTTGTTTCTTTTTTTTTGTTGTTTGTAGTTTCAGCACTCTTAAATCCAGGGCTGTTTACACTTCACTTTCAATTCACTTCATTCAAAAAGATATTTCCCCTTGATGGGGAAAAAAACACTGAGAGTGAATGTCAAATGCAATCTGTAGGTAGAAAAAAGAAAGAAATTCTTGGGAGGTTCGAGTTACATTTTTGTATGATTGAATTGAAAGTGGACTGACGCTAGTCCTGCTGTTCATAATTCTGTTTTGGGGACAGACAGCTCCCCCTGTCCTGCCATGCAGGTCAGCCTTGATATGCACACTAAACCAGAGAAATGGTCTACTAGTTCTTCTTTGAGATGAGGAATATCAAACTGAGACCTCATGGAAATTGACCATGAATTATTTAATAAAGGTTCTCTAGTTTAAATGATGGAGGCTGGTGTTTTAATCTGTCACTATTTGGGGGGAGGAGGGGTATTCTCAGAGTCTGGTATTTTTAGCGGTAGGGATGGCTGTGGTTGTTCCACCCCTGACTGAAGGAATTGCCTTGAAATAAAGTACAAACAATCATGGGATGTATCCTACTGACTTTGGTGATCCTGTGACTTCCTTTAGCGCAGGGGTGTCCAGACTTTTTTGAATGGGGGCCAGATAAAATAATGTCAAAATACCTGGGGGCCAACTGATTCTCGCATCAAATGGGTTTAAAAAAAGAAGTGAGATAAATGCAACCATTTTTTATTCCTACTTGATGCCTGTCTGCAAACTGTATGATAGTCCTATCATTGTGAGGTGAAAGGCAAAAATGCAAAGTGGTCTTGCTCAGTTAACCATTATTGTGTAAAGGGCCACATATGGTATATTTTGAAAGTCAAGCCGAGGGCCAATTAAAATTGGTCTGCAGGCCACAATTGGCCCCCGGGCCAGACTTTGGACATGCCTGCTTTAGTGCCACCTGTGATTGACAGTTATAGTTTTGAGTAAAAAGTCTAAACAACTATTTAATGGATTGCTATAAAATTTGATTCACACGTTCATGTTCCCCTCAGAATGAATTGCAATCACTTTGGTGACTTTTCATCGAGAGCCATCATCAGGAAAAATTACATGACATACAGGAAATACCCTTACACTGAAAACACACCTGCCTTTAATTTTATTACGATGTATGAATTTTATTAGTGCCAATTTGGTGGCACGGTGGTGTAGTGGTTAGCATTGTTGCCTCACAGCAAGAGGGTTCCTGGTTGGAACCCAGAGTCGGGGGTTCAAACCCAGGGTGAAGGAGCCCTTCTGTGGAGTTTGCACGTTCTCCCCATGTCAGCGTGGGTTTTCTCAGGGCACTCCAGCTTCCTCCCACAGTCCAAAGACATGCAGGTTAATTGGTGACTCTAAATTGTCCGTAGGTGTGAATGGTTGTCTGTCTTTATATGTTTGCCCTGTGATAGTCTGGTGACCTGCAACCTGGTGTACCCCACCTTTCGCCCAGTGTCAGCTGGGATAGGCTCCAGTCCCTCGGTGGCTACGGAAAATGAATGAATGAATGCTGATTTGACCAACTACAGGTAAAAACACACAAGCAGACAATGAGGGATATCAGCCGGACAGCAAAATGTCAGGTGAATCATTGTCCAATCACATCCATATGAATTTGATCCTTCATTTCCACACTGTGGATATGTGAGAGCTGTAGTTGAGCCAAACGTTGCTAATGAAATTAAAGGGAGCTTTGATTCCAGTGTGAGCTGGTGCTCCTTGTATTACAGTTATATTGATTTTTGTATCCAGCATCTATCCCACTGAGGTTTAGTGGATGTGTACACGACTACTCTAAGAAAACTAATTCCCATCAGCCTCAGCTGACAATGTTGTTTGTGCTAATAAGCAAATGTTGGCAAGCAAAACTAGGATGGTGTAGCTAGTATGTTAATGTTAAATGAGAAATCAAAATTAAACTCTTGGGACATTTAAAATACAATTACACAAGTTAGACCACGTTTGACACATTTCTGAACTGTAAATTTACCTTATTATTAACCGATAATCATGTTTTCTCATTAAATTTAAGCAGTCTGCTGGCAGGAGGTTAGCGTCTTGCCTCAGGACACATTGCCTGTTGTGCCTTTTGAGTTTTGTCTGTGGCCTTTCTGCAGCCTCTTGTCAACTCCACTCCAGACCCTCCTCTGTAAAATGTGCACCCCTGCGGTTGGTTCTGCACTGTTTCACGGATGCTATGCATTGTGCAGGGATTATACTTCCATAGGAAATCATTTCCCGGGACGTGATTGAACAATTTACTCAGAGATATGACTCTTTTATGGCTGCAGATCATACTACGTGGGAGGTTCTTTAGCACTTAACAGTTCCACGTTAATGTTCCTTCAGGAGGAAATTAAAAAAAGGGGGGGAAAGAGGTAATCTAAATGCTAATTTCTGGTAATTTTTTGATAGAGGCACCTTGTTCATTTTCTTTGACTTTTTTGGTGACAGGGAGAGAGAGACAAGCGTATTCCCTGGTCAGTGGCTCAGTTTTTAAGTTAAACTCTGTCACGAATTTTGGATACCAAATGCTGCAGACAGAGAATGAACAGCAAGGATAACATGATATCAAACTGGCTAGTGTTCTGTCAGTGTTTGTATGTCTGTACTCTGATTGCCTTTACTTAGATCGCCAACCTGAGAACATTCTAATAACATATTCTTCCTGAAGGCACACTTTGCTTTGGCCTACTTCTGTTAGGTTGTTTTGGGGGATAACTTGATAAAACCAGGTGATCTAAATGAACAAAAACACTAGAAAGTAAAATTATGTAACTTGTGACTGGATTATCCTACTGGATCAAGCCTCAGTTATTCTACATTACAAGCAAACTGGATCAACCATCAGTAAAGACCTGCAGGTGCAGTTTTGCCCAGGGTCTATGTCAGATAAGAGCAGTGTACCTGCTTTCATACAGTACTTGGCTGGCTGACTTTGTGCATGTCGACATCTGCTGGTGTTATACTGCAGTCGTCACCACAGCAAATACCATTGCCAAAACTCCCATCAGGTCGGCCCCCTGCTGGTGCAAACACCACTCACTGCCATGCACTGGAGGGTGCATATGACACCCACTAAATGAGCATACAGCGCTGCATGAATGCACTGATGGACAGAGGCTCGTATGTGCAAGTGCATGAAATCAAAATGTGAAATGAAATTGCACGTGGATGACATTTACTATTAGTGATTCTATCTTCAACTGATTTTCCAGTTGGCTGGAGCTCCTCTGTGAGGGAACCTCTGTGCCGCCCTCTGGAGGAGTTCTGGATGTAACACAGGTTCAGCATGAGAGAGGTTATGTCACTGAGGCTCCTCTTGAGACTACTTTGCATTCCTGAACTGATGTCTCATTGACTCATTCTTGAAGCTCCTCCAGAGGGGTCGGACGTACCGCCGCTCCCCACTGCTACTCTGACATGTTAAACATAGTAAAAACATTATTTTTCTTGCCAGATTTTGACAAAAAAAAAAAAAAATGCTTCTGTCACCCTACATTTCATTAAAACACCTCCATTTGTGTGACGAATGAAACACAAAGGGGAGTGTGAAAGTTTGTCTGACCACACCCAGAATGATCCTGTGTGTTGTCTGTTTCCATGTTCAGGTTACAGCACTGAGCAGTGTTGCTCCTGAAGAGATGAACAAAATGACGATACACTGCATGTTATTAAGAGAATATCACTGTTTTTTTTTTAATATTAATGTTTATAGTGCAGAACATGGCATTATCGTCCTTATTCTACACACTGGTCCCTGAATATACAGTCTAATTAAATGAAAAATTTCTGTGAAATGGCCTTTATAAGTTAACATTAACATTAACGTTAATTAATAAAATAGTCACTTAATTGTGCAATACAAAACTGGACCGCTTGCAGCAGGTAAAGGCACAGGAACACGAGCACAGTTGTGTGTCAGTGAGCTATACAAATACAAAAATGGCACTGAAAATAGCAAACTTGGTTCCTTCAAAATTGGATACAAAGATTTATACACACGAGGGTAAAAATGAGCTAAAAACAGGTTTGGTCTCTCTGTGTTGGCAAGTGTGTCTTCTGATAGTGCTTCATTTGTTCAGAGCTTTGTCCAAGTTGGTCTTGATTGCATCCAGGAAGTCCGACGTGTTGACATAATGTTCGTTGAGCTTGCAGCTGCGAGATCACAGAGCAGGGGTTACATTTGTAAGAAATTATAAATTCTGTCCTCAAGTTAAAAGGTCAGAACCACACACATACGTAACTGAGGGATCTAAAAATGTAAACTCACTTGGCCAAGCCATGGATGCAGCCAGCGAGGTCCTTGGTCATCACACCGTTTTCCACAGTCGACACACAGACTTGTTCTAACGTCTGGGAAAACCTGGAGAGCGACAATGTAGCATGGCAAATTATTACGGTGTTAAATTACGCAAACATGTCACAAATGACTGGGGGGAAAATAATCACGTAACGTACCTTATCAGATCAGGATTTCCGTCCAGTTTGCCTCTGTGCTCCAGTCCTCTGGTCCAAGCAAAGATGCTCGCAATGGGGTTGGTACTGGTTGGGTTTCCCTACAGAGACAAGACAAAGTTAAGGTTTGTCACAGACACTTAAACATTTCTTGGAGTTGCTTTGCGTTTAGGTCAGACATTAGTATCTCCTACCATGGATGGATTGAATGGATTCCCCTGAGTAAAAGAGTTATAAAATGGTGAGTCTGGTTTGTTTGATTCTGAAGAGCTTGAAGCAAATGTGAGATTTCACATGAAATACATAAATAGAAGAAGAACAAATTTGCTACTTGCTTTGAGCTCTGCTGAAAATATCACAAAATGACACTGAATACATTTAGCTTGTTGTCTGAGGGAATAAGAAAAAAAAAAACACCACCTCACAAAACTTTATTTTATGCTCTGTAAGGAGGCCTTAGGTGTTTTTTGAAAGGCGCCTTTTAAATTAAATGTATTATCATTGTTGTTTCTACACTGAGATGCCTGTAAACAACAGCAACTCAGTTTTATTTGGTTCTAAAATTCAACAGTGGTCATAATGACAAAATTTCCAACCAGTTTTTTTCCCCACAAACAAGATGCAAAATTAAACATTTCATTAGGGCTGTACCGAATACTAAGGTTTGGAGCACCATTCATAACATTGACATTCAAATTACAAATCAACATTTGAATGCTGCACAGCTTTAATTTACTTATTTATTTATTTATTTATTTCTGGATGTCTATTCATTCTGTTTAAACCTGATATTTCTGCACAGTTACAGATAAAGATTAGGCTTCACTAGTGTTATACTATTTAAAGAATTAGATTCCAGTGGTGACTGCATATGATTGGAGTTATTGGAAATGTTTGGATCAAGGTACCAGGGTGTTATGAATTCCAAAAGTCAAAATTTATTGGAAAAAGAAGTAGATGTAATCATTACGAATATTCACAACAACTTTTTTTGAATGAAATATTCTGCTTCAATCCATATTTGTTGGTGTTTAGCCTTCAAAAGCATAATTTTTACTGCGGTGGAAAAGCTTGTTTGCTTGCACACAAAGAGAGGCACACTGTATTAATGGGGCGGTTTAGCAGCAGTCTAACAGCACCATAAATTACGTTTATTTATTAAAGAAAGTTGATTCAATAAAGAAATACTAACTCATTTTATCTGATAAATCACTTGAGTCGAATTGGTTCATTTCATTGATTCAATACATATTTTTGGGCGTCACAAAATGACAACAAACATTTGAAGCTTCATTTGAAATCCTTAATCAAGCTTTGAATGTAAAAAAAAAGAAAAGACATTCGACATTAATGACATTGTTTGACTTTATAATCTATGGATACATTACTGATTATTTTAACTGTGCCTTATTTTATCATGCTCCATTTAACACTAGGCTTCAACTGAGTGAAACTGCAGCTACTCATACTTGACATGAGTCTATTAACACTTGCAGTTGAATACAGTTTTAAAAAAAATAAAGTACATATGAGTACATCAGTGCACTTTCATCACTGTAAGAACTCATTAGTGTCAACAGTTTGCATGTTGGACTGGTTTTCACTGGCTTCAAACATTACATCACATTTGTGATATACGTGGAGAATCAACGTCAGCTAAAACTCTTATCCTAAAACTAAACCTACCCTCAAACCGTACACCAAGTTTCTGCCCTGAATGAGTCCTAAAGTAAACACAGACCCAGCAGTGTGACCTAGTGGCTCTTACCCTCTGGTGTTCACGAAAGTGCCTGGTGACGGTGCCGTGGGCAGCCTCTGCCTCGATAGTCTTTCCGTCAGGGACCACTAGCACAGACGTCATGAGGCCTAGAGAACCAAAACCTGGACACAGCACACAGACAAACCTGTCATCAGAGGGCAAGCAGATCACAAAACACACGCATGCAAAAAACAAGATGTAGGTCAGATGGGAATAATGTAATATTGTGACTGTGTGGCCTTTGCTGAGCAAGCAGGGCAACACAACAACTGGCAACTCATCATCAAACTGAAGTGCACTAACCCTGAGCCAGAATATCTGATTGGACGTCTCCATCGTAATTCTTGCAGGCCCAAACAAACCCTCCAGAAGACTTCAGGACCTGAGCCACCATGTCGTCAATGAGACGGTGTTCATACCAGATATTCAGCTTGTCAAACTCTGGCTTGTACTGCCTGAAAAAGAAAGAACAATGACATGTTTAGGTCTCCTTAAGACATTAAACTAAGACATTTGTTTTTGTCACTGACAGGCTCAGATAACTATTGTATGTGTTCGAGAACATTATGGACAGGATCCTACAGAGACATACTTTTATGTTAAAGAGTAACATTAAGAGTAGCAAAAAGGTCTATCTCTGTAGGGATCCTGTCCATAGACTTTCAGACACTTAGAAATATAATTTGAGCATACATTGACGGTGCACAAATGCAGAGTGGTCGCAGTGCTGCCTGTTTCGCTGCTGCCTGCTGCAGCACTTTCATTCAATACTGGACCCATTTCAAAAACTGTTGCTCCCAGTAGTCACTTAAATACTAAGATGTGAAAATAGGGTCCAGGTTGACATATACCGAAGTTACACTTCTGTCAGAGTCAGAGTCTGTTCATTGTGCAATGTAATAAACCAATCCAGTGCATCAAGTCTGGATCCTGTTCAGTATCTTACGCCTCAAAGATTTCCTCAAAAATATCCTTGAAGCGCCCGTCGTAGGCCTTGAGGATGGTGTTCTTGGTGCTCATGTACAGAGGCCACCTCTTCTGGATGGCATACTGGAAGCAGCTGTGAGCAAATCCACTGATGGACTGTGCAAAGAAAACACAATCAAAAAGGTCCAGATTTTAAACATAAGAAATCATATAGAAAAATGTCATGTAATTAAATGTATGAACAAACTCTTACCTCATCAGTGTTGTACATTCCCATTCCGCAGCCCCCTGAGGGAAAGTCATACACCTCCCACTCCCTCTGCTTGCTTCCATCGGCTGGGGCAAACACAATTTTGAACTTGCCAGGCTGGTCAATAACAAAGTCTGTGGCCCTGTACTGTGAGATTAAACATTAAACCAGGGCTGTGAGACTGCTCCTCTGTCTGTTTGGATACACCATCGAAAAGAGCCAAGCACACGTTCGCATTTCTTACCTGATCGCCAAAAGCGTGTCTGCCAATTGTTATGGGTTGCGTCCAACCGGGAACAAGGCGAGGGATGTTTTTACAGAGGATTGGCTCACGGAAAACGGTGCCACCCAAGATGTTCCTGATGGTGCCATTAGGGCTCTTCCACATCTTCTTGAGCTTAAACTCTGGAAATAAATATTAGTAATATTAATAACTAATCAAGAACCAAAATGAAAAGTATCATTACTAACATACTCATACACATGCAACTCATATTATTACTGATGTGATGTAAAACATTTTATAAAATCAAACACAAGTTAAACTTACCTTCAACTCGTTCCTCATCAGGGGTGATGGTGGCACACTTGACAGCCACGTTGTACTTCTTGGTTGCCAGAGCAGAGTCGATGGTGACCTGGTCGTCTGTCTGGTCACGGTAGGGCAGACCCAGGTCATAGTACTTCAGCTCAACATCAACATTGGACAGGATGAGCTGTACATGTACAAGATATTGATGTGTTATTTGTGTGAGGACAACATTGCATAGCAACCACACAAGCACACTCAAATGTGCTTATAAGTAAAGGCTACCTACAGTTTCTTTATACAGTGAAAGTCTACGTTATTGGCAGCTGATCTTTGCAACTCTGTTCTGATTTACCTTGTCTTTGATGAACTCCCATATGATGCGAGTCATCTCATCTCCATCCATCTCCACCACTGGCTGGTCCACCTTGATGCGCCTTGTGGCATCTTAAAAGTTAAATTACATTAACTGTCATGTTTTACAGTGTTGTTTATGACTGCAAGGGGAAGATGATACTGAGGATACTCAAGGCTGCAGCTCTGTGGCTTTTCTACTTAAAGAATAACTTCGATATTTTTCAACCTGGTACCTATTTTCCCATGTATAACCTCCTCTTTATTTTGCCACTGACAGTTAAGATTAAGGGTCAGACAACATTGTGTTACTGACATTTACTGATAAGTGTCTAACTCCAAATTCCCATGTTTTTTTTGTTTTTAAGTGACTAATGGAAACCGTGAAACAGGCTGCAATATTCACACTGACAATTTGCATCCTCTGAAAGTGCTTGTTTTTGCCATCGACATGTTCAGACAATTATTATGTGAGAGACATTATGGAAAGAATCCCTACAGAGACAGACCTTTTTTTAAATAGTAAGATCCTTTTAATTAACGAGAAACAGCCCTGAAATTGCTACCGCCAAATCCACCAGACTCTGTTTAAATAAATAGCAATTTTATTTATATAAAACACACTTCATTCAAAGTCAACAGGAATAAAATAAAACTCATAAAAACCATCCTGGTTTGTCTTTCTACAGTTCCAACAATTACCCACTTTGGTTTGGTTGAAATAAAACCCTTAATTCAGTCACTTAAATGTGAAAATATGCTGGCTCTATACACGCTAAAATTACTGCTTATTTAAATAGAGTCTGGTAGAATTGGTGATGGCAATTTTACAGGCAGTTTCTGGTTCAACAAAAAGGATCTTACTCTTTAACAAAAAGGTCAGTATTTGCAGGGATGCTTTCCAGAAGTTGTCAGACACTAAAAATAACAATGTAAACATGTCAATGGCAAAAAACAAGCACTTTTAGTGGATGTGCAAACGTGCCTCACGTGGGTACATTGCAGCCTGTTTAAATACCAGCTGCAGTGCTCTCATGTAATACTGGACCAATTTCAAAAACTTTCATGTCATTCATTCATTCATTTTCCATAACAGCTTATCCTGTTAAGGGTCACAGGGGGCTGGAGCCTGTCCCAGCTGACACTGGGCAAGACACGCTCATATTTACGCCCACAGCCAAATTAGAGACGCCAGTTAGCCTAACCTTTATGTCTTTGGACTGTGGGAGGACGTTGGGAGTACGTGAAGAAAACCCACAGTGACATGGAGAGAGCATGCAAAGTCCCCCACCCTAGGGTTTGAACCAGGAACCCTCTTGCTGTGAGGCAACAACACTCACCACTGCACCACTGTGCCACCAATTTCAAATAAATAAATAAAAATACTGCCATTTTCCGATTTGCTGATATATTTAACAACTGATTAGACCTATTACCGATACCTGATAGCGATATCAATACATCCACTCTTTTCCCTCCCTAATTTTAGTGATCAAGTCTCTTCTGTAGTGGAATTAACATCATATTATGCATGCATACTTTAATCGTGATGTCCCACCAGCTATGGAGACATGAAATACAAGTTTTTAATGTATGTTATATTCATTCATTGTGCAAATTAGGAAAAAGTGTGTTAGTCAAGTCCGATATTTCATTTTAAAGCCAATATCGAATGATGCTGATGACGTACTGATATTATTGTGCATCCCTAGAAAATAGGGTCCAGGTTGGAAAATACCAAACTTATCCTTTAATGTAGCTGGATGGTCATCTTCACACATTATCATAGTCATAATTTTCATAGCTTTAGATTGCAACTACTTCATTGTATTACACTTCTTGATTCTTGAGTTCAGTCTGGCTGATGTGTGACTGTTCCCAAAGTCTTATAACTCAAATTCCTGTGGGAAAGCTCATCAGCATGTCAAAAACTACTAGCTTTAAAACACCTGCATTTGGTTTTATATCACTTTCACTACTCAGTTACAAAGAGTTCATTCTCACTGAGACAGTGAAACTCTGCCAGACAGTGACCATGGATTAGATGACTGCTTTAATAGCAGTTATTACCTGCCCAGACCTTTATGTACGTGACACATAGGTAGAATCCTATGACACGACAGGCTGGCACCAGACAGTTACAAATTAGATTATTACTCATACCTGCTGCATACTAACAATTGTTCCTCCACTGTTCACGTGTTATTCAGTGTTCAGCATGATAAAGACTTTTGTATGTTTCACCTTTAAGTTTTTTCTGTTATGTAGTTGTAACTTTCTATTCTGCCCCGAGTTTTATTTTTAAATTTAGAGGTAAATGAAAACAATTTCGTCCAGTCTCTTGTATGTATGATTCATAGCTATTTGCCAATCAGCAACCTTGACGGTTTCCACTGTCACGTACTACTCGTAGTGCTTATTCATAAACACTCACTCAGTCCGTACTGTAACTTATGTTACACAGCCACATTAATGCGGTAAACATGGCTGTGAGACTGTAATGTCGCACTGCAGTAAAATATTTTTCTTGTGGTTTTGGTGGGCGGCTGACTTACAGTTCCTCTGTTGAGACTTCTGATGTCAGACGGCGGCCGGTGAGAGCACTGCGGGGTTGTGCGACAGCGCAGCGGCTGCACTTCTTGTCACGGTCGTCAGAGCTTTCAGGTAACCCGCCATGTTCAGGAGGAACTGATAACAGTTAGGACCACGTCCACTGGACCTTCTGTCGTTATGAATGGACAACACGCAGGTAAAGCCCGGTAAACTGGTGACGACTGACGTAAAAACACCACCACGTCAGCTTGGTGAGAGCACGCTCTACTGTGATTGGCCAGCAATGTCGACTCCGGGCCAATCAGAATCTAGTATACTCTCTGAGGACCCTACGGTGAGTTCACTGCGGGTTTAAAGTCCAACCCTTCTTCCGCCCTCCCGTTTCCGGAATCAAGTGTACTTTTTTCCCCCTCGCCGTCAGAGGTGGAGAAGTACGCACGTATCTCACCTATGTAAAAATGGCAACAACACAGTGTACAAAAGTCCAGTTAAAAGAAAAACTTACGAATTCAAAATGTTACTTAAGTAAAAGTACAAACGTATTAGCATCAAAATATAGTACCGAAAGTAAAAGTACTCCTTACGCAGAATGGCGCCAGTGCTTACTGTGCATCACTTTCACGTTGCTAATGGCAACTTTGGAGCTCATTTTAATTATTTTACCAATGAGTTGCTTGCGAATTTATATCCAAAATAATACGTCATAATTTATTTGTTGATTATATTCCACATTATTAACCTGCAAATGTATTTTAATTATCACATGAATAAAAAGTAAATAAATAAAAATGAATAAAAAGTAAAAAGTACAATATTTTCATTAATAATGGAGTGGGGTTGAAGTATAAACTGGCAGAAAATGAAAAGTAGCTCAACATTATACTTAACAGTGCTTAAATAAAGGGCCTAGTTACTTGTCACTATTACAAATATACTGGATGAGTAAAGACATCTATATCTAGAGACCAAAATCATTCTTGCATGTTAAAAAAACTCATGTGAGATTAAAAGCAGAGTAAACTGCATTATAGCTCCTGAACTTTTAACTGGCAGCTTTTTATCATATTGGGAAACCTGGTGTAGACCCACCAGAGTAAAGACATTGTCTGTTTAGTAATTATAGAAGCTGAATTAATTTTGAGCAAAACATCAACAGACATGCTCAAAAATGAGTAGGAAGAAGTGTACACTTTAATAATTCTACCCCCTGCTCAGTATTCATGTCTCATTAAAAAGGGAAATTGTCAACAACTATCCCAAACTTATTTACAACTATTAATATATATAAATGAACAACTGCCTTAGATATTAAATATACAAACCCCATCTCAGCCAAGCCCAGACAAATAAATAAACTAACCCATCAGTATCCACCCTCTTCATCGGCATACCTCCTAAATATACGGTCTGTACATATTTTTAAAGTGCTCTATAGTTGTGCTTCCCTTTAACTCTTCATCTAACCCATTCCATAAACCCACCCACACTCTGAAATACACATATTTTTCAACATGTTTTCTTAGATTCAATTTTGCTTTTGAATTATTTCCCCCCTCCCTATCACAAAACATTTTCAATATTGCCCAGGTGGATTATTTCTTCCTTTGTATGTTAGTATAAAAGTTTAGGAGCTTTTATTCAGTCTGTACATACTTTCTGCTTTATCAACATCTGCTTAAATGTGCCTGGCCTACATATAGGACTGAATTTGTACATTGTAATACACAAACTCATTTAGCATCATTCATACCCAATCTGTATAATTGAGGGCCTGAGTCAGCCAAAAACAGCTTAATCATCTCCTGTAATATGTGGTTCATCTGTCAATTAGAAAACACTGAGATGATATCTGCCAAGCTGCATAAATGTCTTAAGTTTCTAATTTTAATAACATATGTGATCTTGAGTTATCTTTTAAAATTAAAAATACATTTTTATTGATCTTCAGCTGGAATTGGCATCTCAATAGTGCCAAATACCCAAAAGACTCAAAATGCAAATCATAAATACCGTAGACAATGTTAAGAAATGGGATTTATGTCTCAGTCAGAAATTACTCTCCACCAAATTTTATTGAAATCTGCTGACAGGTTTTACAGATAACAAAGAGACAGATTAACAAATATGGCTGCAAGCATAACTTTCTTGGTGAAAAAGGAAAATCCATAATGATCGGTCAAGTAACAATGTCCATTTAACATAATCTCTTAATGAAATGGCATGGACTTGTAGTTGCACCCAAATGTAAAACATGAGAATCAAATCAGTCAACAGTATGCTACGTGACACACAAATCAAAACTGTAAACTTTCAACTTGGTATTAAAAGAAGAAAAAGATTTCTTAAGGCACTTTGTATGAGACACATGAGAGCAGGAGGGATGCAGAGCTCTCAAGCTACACCTCGTCACAACAATTTTTTGCACATAAATTAAGGCGACAACATGATACACACTATAAAACAATTACAACTAACATTCATAAACAACTGATGTGCCACAACATCTGATGTAATCACTGTCCAGGTCCTACTGTAAAACAATCTGGGTCAATAACTGACAAATCAAACCTGCTTTATGTTGTACATCAAAATATAATAAATAATCTGTGCAAGGTTGACAGGTGTTAATCTCATTTTCAGTACAGTGTGAGTGTTGTTTCTTCTTTATACAGCTTGTTCTGAACAAACACAGACATGACAAAGGTATACAGAGGTTTGTCTGATACTTGGTAGGCAGGAAAAAATAAAAACTATCCATTTAACAAAACAGGTATGTGGAAAATACTACAAGACGTGTGCTAATCTCCAGAAGCACTCATGTGTTCACATTGACGAGGTTCCACCTGAGGGCACATCAAGGCTACACGTTTTAAGTGGAGGCTGCCACAGAGCCTTTCTTGTCAGTGAAGAAGCTCTTGAGCAACATGACTTGACCGATGCCAATGACGAACAGCAGGACGGTTTCTCCGATGGACCAGTAGGTCACCCGCTCGAGGAGATGCTCGGCTTTTGTGCGGTCGTGTGCCTCTCTCAGTCTGTACCATGTCTGCGAGTCAGCCACCACTTTCAGGATCTCGTGAATGGAGACACATGACGACTCCAACTGAAAGTAGAAAGAGCAACACAAATTAATCAAAAGCAAAGAAATGACCTGGGGCAAAACGTACAGTGGAGGGAGGGTCACAGTCACACACATATGCAAACACTGGATTATACTATCCAAAGTGCTCTTTATCCCTTGCATGCACAAATTATGACTTCCTCAGTCAAGAGTTTTTTTTTTCCTGAGTGTTTTTATTCCTCTTTAGGCATCAAAAAATAAATTTAAATTCTGAAAAAATAAAGGATTCAAGGAGTTTTTTGTACATGTTCTCTTGGGTGGACAGCATGTATTTAAATTTCAAACTGCAGATAATCCCATGAAATAATTATATATTATGTGAAACTATAAAAAACATATTTTAGTGCTGATAAATTAGTGTGTTCACATATTTCAACATATTCTAATACTGATCAATGCAATACAAAAGCATTGACCCATGCTCCTGATTCCCCAGCCTCTCCCCCCTCTTTCTACTCCTCCCTCCTGTCACACCCTCCCCCATTCATTCTGTTTGCTCATACACATCACCCTCTGTTGAACTGTATTTTTTTTTTTCCAAAAAGTAAGTCAAAATATTGTTTTTGTTACAAAAACTGCAGGTTACACTCTAAAGTATTTTCAAGGACAACTAAGTTGCAGAAATAGTATTAATTGTTGTTGAAATAAAGCCAGTGATGCCTGATGTCCAGTTTAGCAGACAGCTGATTCATCGTAATTTCCTCCAAACATAAAATCAATACTTTGAAATTTTAAGAACTGTATTATACCTTAGATGTTACCAAATGGCATTTACTTGAAAGGGTCTCCTATTATAGAAGGATTGGCAAGATATTCTTGAGCTGTACTGGCCAGTGGGTGGAAGTGTGTGATGCATGTGGCTTATATGCATCTATAGCATCAAAACCCTTGCATATACAAGAAAACAGCTTTCAAATAGCTGTCCACTATAGTGACCACCATGCATAAAACAGTTAACAGATTCACTTCAACTTTCCACATTTGTGCCACAAGCCTCCCGACTTGAAGTGACCAAAATACACATACATATGTACTGTAAACATTACCCTTGTCTTACTGTCACTTTTATGTTATATCCACTTGCAGATGTGCCCAGCTTGTCAGTCTTGAGTGATTTGGTACCTAAATTAGCATCTGTAAATGGTATTGTCTTGTCACATGAGGTTACAGACACCTGATATTGGGCAACATCAATGTACATACTACCTAGCAATCATCAGTACATACCTGTATGTGACAAAAACTACAATGAAAATAGGAAATTATTTGTTAAACTAGATATTTATTTTTATAGGTAAATTATAGGTTTTATGGTTTATGTATAGTAAGCATATAATTTTGTTATGGACTGATACTATTTTACAAAAGGAAAATAGCACCATTTTTGATTTAACTCTAGTTCTTCTTTGAACACAGGCGTATTTCCAGGTGGCAATCACAACCCTCCACCCCACAGGCCCCAGTGCAACCACACTACCTGCACTGCCTAGATTTACACCCCTGTACCTGGGTGTTTCTGGTAATGTGGGGTGAAGACAGTTCATTAAAAGACTTGCCAAAAGGAACCAGCCATGGTTAATACAACATTTGCAGTGATACTTGTTATCTAAGTCTTTTATATTTGATGTCTTAATATATTTGCTCCACGTTTGTATTGAGACTGCTGCTCAGCAATTTCTCTCAGGATATAAAAGTTGTATGTAATGTTAAATAAGACCAGCTCTGGCTCCACCTAGTGTCCAACCTCTGAAACCAAACTAACATCAATGCAACAGAAAGGGGTGTGCTGCATTTGCTATCTCCACACCAGCTGATTAGTTCACCTCACTTACTCAGCACAACACTATTGGCAAAGAATGTTTCCTCTCAGAAACTGTAAGCCAAGCAGCAGGATACAAACAAATGTCTTGCCATAACTTAAAGGCAAAACATATTTTAGTGACACTTTACAGTGTGTGTGAATTCACTTATACCCACTTGTACACTGGAGCAGCCAAAGTCTGGCCCTTTAGAGTGTTTCCACTACAACAGACAGATTCAAGGCACCTTCTTCTTCAAGCATACTTGTAAACCAGTTCCTCAGACTTACCTGAGTCAGTGCTGTAGGTCCATTCATGTTCTGCATGAGAGGCTCCTCATCTCCATGGCGGAACTCCAGGTACACTGTCTTATGTGTGAAAGTGGAGAACTCATTGCTGAAGCAGACCTTGTAGACTCCCTTCATGGCTGTGGTGTGAGAGAAGCTGTCATATTGCTTCTTCTTCTCATTATATAGGACATTGTTGAAAGGATCAGTGACGAAGCAGTCCACATCATAGTTGCCTCCAGCAATGACCTAAAAGAAGAGAAAACACAATGTGTGGATTACAGAGCATATGCATAACACAACAGTTGTAACACTGTATGTTGTTAGGTTGTAACATATGGATTGTGTAATGCTGAAATGGCTCACTCTGGTTTAGCAGCAAACCAGTTAGGCAGGTAACTCTGGCTGAGAAAACCTTTACCAAAACAAGTTTTCCTGAATTTAACTGTATTATTAAACAACAGGTAAAGTTAATAAGGGGTCATTACCAAATAGTCACCTCATAAATACAGATACATGCTGAAGTTATGTGAAGAACTAAAACTATGCCTGTTCTTCCTTTCCAAAAAAGGCAGACAGACCACGCTCAACTAACAAACTACAATCAAAAGAATAACTTGCAGCATCTTGTACATACACACTTGTGGAGGTGATGAAGCTGTCCGAGTTACTTACCTGAAAGTCTATTTCAAACTTTACGTCTTGTTCTAGCTCCTCGTAGAAACATTGTTTATCGTTGTCAGGCAGCTCAAATGTGAGCTCAGTCCCAAACACCACGCACACATGCAGCAGCAAACAGCTCAGTCCCAGAAACAGCATGTTGACAGCAAGAACAAACTGCTGGAAGCTGCTCACAGACTGAACCACTGATGGAAACACTCCTGTAGCTCTGACGTGGCACGTGCACGAACAACTTCCGGGGCAGGTTTGTTTATTTTTTTTTGGTTAAAAAAAATTTGCCCAGTGTTACTAGACTTAAAATGTCGTCAAATAAAAACAAACACTAACCTCCGACTGAAAGGCGACCTATTTATAGACCGGTTAAGGCCGCGAGGCGACAAATTACTGAGATGCATCCACAGAGAGGTCTCAGCCAATCACAGCGCCACAGCGCCGACGGCTGTGACGTCACGTTTCAAAATAAATCAGCAAGCTAGCCGAGACATTATTTTGCTTATACAAATAAGTAAATAAATAAAATAAAACTAAAACTAAAAGTGAAACTAAAAATAAAGATAAAAATACAATAAAGATAAAAATTAAAATCCAAAAACTAAAATAAAAATACAAGTAAAAATACAAATAAAATAAAATAAAATAAAATACAAAACAATACAATAAAAAGGCATTATGAGTTATGTGTTTTACTGAGATGGAAGAAGTATTCAGATAATTAAGTATCACATTGGTCCTGAATTCAAAATCAATTAAATTAGCCCATGTCAATAAATATCATATAAGCTACACAAAGTTTTGATATGTATCAAAATCAGTATGGAGTGCAGTATGGCTCCTGTTAGTCTTTTAATATTATGTTATTCGACCCTTGTTATTGATGCAATAACATTTAGTCAGTGGTTTAAGTCCAGGTAAAGCTTTTTTCAATTATTCAACATGATTTTGGTTGATTTAATCTGTAAAGTAGCGTTTTATGAGATTTTTTTTTTATCAGTTTTGCATGTAGTCTGAATCTGAAAAGTATTATTAATACGGCAGTTCAAAAATTGTAGTGAAGCTACAGTAGCTGACAATATTTCCATCATTAGTGGAGGCAGTTTAAAATAGGTATAGGTAGTACAAAACTAAAATACTGAGGTAAAGTACAAATACCTTGAAATTGTATTTAGGATTTGCTGTTTTTTTTTTAATTCTATGTCCTAGTCTCAGCAACATAAGAACAAATTTTTAAAAACAATAATTAATTTTAAAATATCCCATATTTAGTCAGTAAAAATGAATACAAATAAGAGATATTTTCTCTTTAAATGTTTGTGTTGGGCCTGCTTCCAATTATAATAATAACAATAATAATTAAAAATACATGAATAAATAGAAAATAAATAATCAGGGATTCATTTTGCATACCTAACCAGAAGTGCAATTTATCTGTTTTATTTCTGCTGGTGTGACATTTAGGGTAAGGCATCTCAGAAACACTGAACTCTCGTAAATAACATTAGCACAGTGGATGAGTCAGCAGGCTGCATTGTACGGATGGGTGTGTTTTCTAGGGTGTGTGTGTGCGAGATGCACAGATAAGCTGCTCTGCTTGGGCCTGTAACATATTATTTAACCTGTGTGTGAGACTCTGACATTTACAGGTCATTATCACATCACCAAAGTTAATCTACTTCGTAAACAGAAGCCAAAACAGCAAGTTGTCATACAACAGTTGCCATGACAACGGAGGATACACATTTTAAACAAGAGTCTTATTTTGAAAATCCCAGTATTGAATACCACGCCCCCACTTCCGCACATGAGTTAGTCTGAAAAACTATTAGAGGAAGTCCTTACTGTACACTACAGTTTTGACAGCTTTGACGCTTCATTCAGTGAATCAGAGTTATTCTAAACGTTTAGTGTTTTACTTTAGTTTTGTGACAATCTTCGTACTGAGGCTTGTTGGTGTTTACATAACTAACAGGCTCAAATATGCAGAACTACGCAGAGACAGTCAGAGAGTTTGTGGAGAGGCACGCCTTGGGTTTAACTGCTGCTGTTGTTGCAGGTAAATTAATTATTCTGTCATAAGATATTGTTTATGCTTTGTTTTGTACATCTCTCTGTTTTCTTAAATGTCAGTGCAAGGGAGTTTAACCTTTATTTCTGAGAATATAAGTAATTATGTATCCTCTGTGACCCATCACTCAAGCTGACATCTATATCAGATTTACAATGACACAGGCATCAATTTAGGCTGGTGCTCAGTTTGTAGATATCTAGCAATGTCAATGGAATATCTACTCTAATCAGCATGATGAGGTATTTCCCAAATATAAAGGTAATTTTAGTGTTGTCATTGATGTATAAATAAGTCTGTCACTTTGGATCACATGCCATGTCTTAAATCCCAAGACAGGGGTTCCATTTAATTTCTTATTATCCTGTAAGGGAATTTGTTTTACTGAGCATTTGTCTTGCCACATTAAGAAGGACCAAGAAATAGCAGCATAAAAAGTGGACATGAAAAAGGCATATTACACTACATTGGATGTTGATGTTTTATCAACATTTCTTCTTCCATCAGGGGCAGGCGTGCTGGCCTTGCGCAGGTGGATGGCTGGGGGAGTGTGTCGGAGCAAGGTCAGGCTGGATGGGAAAACAGTCCTCATCACAGGAGCCAACACTGGCATTGGGAAAGAGACGGCCCTGGATATGGCCAAGCGGGGTTAGTTCTTCTTTTTTGTCCTTTTTGTGCAGCACTTTGTTATTTTTATAGAGTGGCGTTGGATTTACCTAAACTGACTGCTACCTTGAGTACTAATTCAGCACTGCTTCTACAAATACTGTTAAATCTAAAATACACTGATTGACACTGTTTCTGTTTCTGTTGTGAAGGAGCCAGAGTGATCCTCGCCTGCAGAGACATGACCAGAGCCCGCATCGCAGCTGACGATATCCGGCAGCAGAGTGGAAACGGCAATGTGGTGGTAAAGAAACTGGACCTGGCCTCGCTGCAGTCTGTCAGGGACCTGGCCAAAGATGTGCAGGAGAATGAGCAACGTTTGGACATCCTCATCAACAATGCAGGTAGTTTGCAGTGGCTCTCCTGTGTCCAGTAAGCAGCAGTGAACATTTGTTACTGCAGAAACATTAATAAAATTATTATAAGCATCATATAGGAGGATGGAACACTTTTAAATATCACATCACAGCTAAACAATTTCTAGGATCAAACTTATGTTTCATATGGATAGCTGATTTCTGTGGCTGAAATTGAATTAGCTGTATTAGGAATAAGGATAGACCGATACATCGGCCGGCTGATATATCGGGCCGATATTTGAGTTTTTTACTTGTATCGGCATCAGCCGATACGCGCGTGGGTTCGCGGATTTATTTTTCCCTGGCTTGATTTACAGACAGGCATCCACTGGCAGCTCTGTGTTGCCGGAAGACCCTGCAGCGCACATGCAGCGAATCCTACTGTGTACAGTAGTTGTTGTTTTATTTATGCTTCAGCTTAAATATTTGTTTATTTTATAAAGACATTACTGGAAGATTTAAGAGCAATGAACTCTTTTTTATTTGAATGTATAATAATAATAATATTCTACCTGTTCTACCTCAACTTTCCATCTTGTTTTAGTATTTTTTACTGTTCAATAAATGTTTCTTATTTTAAACTTGAGACCTGTAATATTTGTTATCATTGTGTCATTTTTTTTATGTAAATTGAGGGAGCAAAAGCAGTATCGGCCCCAAATATCGGCTCAAGAAAATCGGCAGTCCATAATCGGTCATCGGCTAAGGGTGATGGAAAAAAATCAGTATCTGCATCGGCCCTAAAAAAATCCATATCGGTCTATCCCTAATTAGGAAGGCTTATTCTCTCACAATAAAAGGTGACTTCAGTTTGGAATCAACTGATGTTAGACCATAAGGTTATTTATTAGTTTGTTTTATATCAGTGTATTTGTTGATTTTTAGGTATCATGATGTGTCCTAAGTGGAAGACTGAAGATGGCTTTGAAATGCAGTTTGGTGTCAACCACCTGGGACATTTTCTCCTCACCAACTGTCTCCTTGATCTGCTCAAGAAGTCAACTCCAAGTCGCGTCGTCATTGTCTCCAGCCTGGCACACGAGAAAGGTAGAGGGGATGTTTTGCCATTGTAGTCCATCAGATCTATTTCATGGTTATAAATGTATCTCTGACATTTCCTGTCACAAAGTGATATTAAACTGTGGTTTGTTATGAAGGATAAAAATTACACAACTGTTTCCGGAGTTCAAAATACAATTTCTGCTTAAAGACTACACTGGATTGTGTCTTGCAGGCCGTATACACTTTGATGACATCAACCTTGATAAAGACTACAAACGCCAGGACAGCTACCGCCAAAGCAAGTTGGCTAATGTGCTCTTCTGCAGAGAGCTGGCTAAGAGACTACAAGGTAGAGTCCAACACACACACTGTGTCCCATAATACTAAGTAAACTGATTCACAATTATTATTAAAATTGATGGAGAATAATCACTTCACATTGTCATAATTTTTAATTTCTTAAAACAACATAAAGTCTAATGTATGAATCTGTGTTAGATTTTTCAGTTCTTTTGTTTTTGCCTTGTTGTTCTTGTGTTGAAACTAATGTTTGACATGATGGATCCTTCTCATCAGGCACTGGTGTGACAGTTTACAGTCTTCACCCTGGGGTCATTAACACCGAGTTAGGCCGCCACTTGTTCCCTACTTTAGCTCTGTGGCAGAAGATGGTAGCAGCGCCATTTATGATGATGATCAAAACTCCCAGGGAAGGAGCTCAGACCACCATCTACTGCGCTGTGGACGAGAAAGAGGCAAACGCCAGCGGCCTCTACTACAGGTACGTACACCTGCAATAAAACTCACAGGGCTGTGAAGATAAACTTTGTTGACCGGGTTAAGTTTACATTTGATTTCCGTCCTTCTTTGCATGACTTCTCACTGTCATTTGTACAATAGCAGCAAATAACAATGAAATAATGATTGACTGCACAGCACAAGCTTCTGTTGATCCCTTTAAAACTGTGCTGATCCTCTCCCACCATTTTCTTTCTTCCATCGTACAGTGACTGTGCACCCAAAACGCCGGCCCCACAGGCCCTGGATGATGTTGCAGCCAAAAAACTGTGGGACCTCAGTGCCTCCATGGTTGGTCTGGCTTAAACACAACATCCTGCCTTGCTTTTATCACCTACTCCTCCTGCTGGAGTCAGCTGCTCTGTTTATACAAGTGGATCAAAGGAGCTTTATTATTACCTAATGGGTAAGGGCGATGCATTAATAATGATGATTTGTACCTGTCTTTTAGACAGATCAGAGGGTCAGATAATTTTAGACCTAAAATATTTGCTAATGAGAACAAAATTTTGCACTATATAACCTCAGACTTCAGTCAGTTGATTGGATATTATAACTAGGTGTATGGCTTTATCTTTATATCATGCAGATTGTGCACTATGAATTATGCTTTATTGTATATCCATGGTATGCTGCTATATCCTTATAGAAATGAGGCAACACTTGCTTTGCAATCTACAATATTGGCTGATTGTTCGCATTTTTTAAAGTTTCTTTATTGTTTTGTTTAAGGACACGTAACGTGTACATTGCAAAGGTAGCAGTCTGTATCCAACATAGATTCAAGATAAAGTAATGTCCAGTTAAGACAGATAACAATGAGAAAAATAAAGTAACAATACAAAGAAAGGGAAAAAGTACACACTGAAACAGCAGTAGTTATAATAAGTATTTGGAAGAACAAAATAAACACCCTGGCAACACAAATGTGACAGAAATGATGATGTGGTGCACCATAGATAGGGCCTAGTCACCTAACATCAAGCACATAAGACATGAGTCAGTTCACTTTCTTTTTTACCTTTGACATTTTTTTTTACTTGGAAAATACTAAAATGCTTATGGGCCAAACAGGCTCATCAACATTTTTTTCATCATATGATTTATGCTGAATTTGTACTTACAAGACTTCAAACTGCTGCTTTTATTGCTACCTAACAATTGCCAGCATACAGTAAAATGACTGTACAGTTTGTATAACTGAGTCTATCAACCTCGTCGCAGAAGAGCCATAAAAACATTTAAAGCAATACTACATTTTCTTAAGAGCTACAAGGAAAGGAAGATGACAGCCTATTTGCATACAGACTGAAGAAGTAGACTGTGTTGAAGTCGTGTTGAAGTCGTGTTGAAGTGTTGCTGGGAAGTGACCTTATGTGTCAGCACTGAGGGGGAGGGATTGTTGCACTCCAGAGGAGAGAGGATCCTCCACCAGGTGTAGAGAGGGAGTGGATGCCTCAGGGGCAGAGAGCAGTTAGGACGCAGCCAGTTGATCCAAAGGACTCGTCAGCTTACTGAATGTCCTCCTGAGTAGGTGTGTGTGAGAGTGTGTGTGTTTCCTCACACAGTGGGTGCTGTTTGTTGTATTATGATTTGTTACTTTCATTTTTTTTGAGGTGAGAATTGAACTGTGTGTTTTAGTTAACCAAAGTTACATAAAATGAACAAAGTGTACAGCAGGTAAACACAAGCAGTGTAACATTAACGGCAATAAATGCCTGATTACAAGTGATTTCGTCTCTGGAAGTTATTTAAAAACAGGTGCGATAAGTAAAACTAGATATTTATAGGAGATACATCATGACTTGCAGAAACAAAGCACATTCAAACATGATGATGTGTTGAAAAGGGTGACTCCAGTCCCATAATATGTTTGAGAGCATACAGGGATGCCAGTCTTAGCTCTTTGCTGGAAGCCTGGCTATTTTAAAGACAGTGTTTCCACAGTCATAAAAAAAACAGGAAATGTCATGGAATTTCACAATCACATTTTCCAGGCCTGGAAAAGTCATGGAATTAATAAAAAAACATTTAAGTTTTTGAGAAATCATGGAATTTTGTTGTGTGTAATGAAATTGTTACAGTAATCTTCCACCTAATGTAACATAACAGCAAATTTTAATTTCTGAAGCTGTCGACATAAGTAGCTTTAATATACCTTGTTGTGTGACAACATTTTGTCTACCAATAAGTACGTTTCTTAATTTTCTCTCCGTGTTCCATCTCTCCATCCATGTATAGTAGCTAGCTGAAATTATATTTAAGTAATGTTTGATAATTTTAAAAAACGCCGGGCAAGTAGGGCAAGAAAAATAAACATTATTCTTATGATGGATCCTTAAAAAGAGTTTACCCAGAGTTCTTATGAATGAAGCCAGATGAAAATATATATGCTATAAAAGGGAATTAGTGGAAATAGCTCAGGCTTTTGACAAAACACAGCATCCGTCAGCTCTCATATGTATCACATTTAAAACATCATAAGGTTTCCCCTTCAAATCAACAACTTTGTTATTTCATGTTTCATATCAGGATTTTCTAATCACATCCCATGAATTTCCATGCTCCTGTTCTCCAGCTTTCAGTTGTCACAACCTCACGTTTGATGTTGATCCACTTTGTTGTACCAACATGCTTATTCTTGTACAGTATGCAAACTATGAGTTATATTCTTTTGTTTGAAACTTTCCACCTAATCCACTGTAATTAAAAAGAAGAAATGCCAAGCCTGCGTGTTTAAGCTGTGAAAATCAGTGTCAGTTTGTTGGCGTGCATCACACATCATGCACCTAATGTTTGTATTCCCTTTTACCAGTTGCATCATCCTCAGCGTTTAGTTAGGTTTTAATGGATTATGCCAGTCATGCTGTGTCATGTCAGCCAGGGTGTCCGAGTTCACTTTCAGCCCGCTGGTTTCTAAATTTAATGTCACCACTAAAGTGATCTACGTGCTCCCCCTGATGTATAACCTGTGTTTCTGCACAGTAACTGTATTTCATTTTTATGGATCATACTGGTATTACAGAACACCGGTCACTGCCTTTTTTTTCCTTCTTTTTTTCTTTTTTTTTAAGAAATACATTATCTTGCCTGAAGCGATTCTTCCCAAAGATTGTTGCTTTCTGTCATATTTCTGGGAAATATAATTTAAAACCAGGTGTGCTCAGAGCAGCCTGAAGGGAATCTATGTCTCAGTTAATATTCTGCTGTCACTCATTTTATATGATGGCAGCGCAAAGACAGGACTTTTGTAGTCCTTGGATGTAAAGTACAACTCAGTGTATCCTGCATTAAACCATCTAAAACATCATTTAATTAAATACAATTGGATGACAATGCAACCTAATGTTAGTGTCTACATATGAACTTTCATAAGCCCCGTAATGAAGTTACTGTTCACCACCCACAAAGTTCACATTTTCACATAAAGCTCTTTTTGTCACAACTCTTATATCTTTAAAAAGCAATAATTGATTGTTTCTCCAAAAACAACTGAAGCACAAACACTAATACAAGCCTTCAACATGAACACCAGTTATGAATCGACTGACTGAATCACCCCGAGGCTCTCTGACTCAGGTGCTGTCTCTGCAGTATCTGTAGGTAATGTCATGCACATGCCCTTATCAGTTCTCCGTCCAACGGATACAGAATCTATAGCTGGGCTGGAAAAGTGATAAGGAGATGTGAGCGACCACAGTACCTGTAACCTGTAGCTGTGAAATCACACTGAGGGAGGGCCTATAGTAAAGGGACAAAAGTGAGTCCTGAGAGGTTCAAACAGCCTCCATCCATGGACAGCCTGACGCTGCCATCCCTTCCCTCGAAGTCCTGGTCCCAAGAGAGGAGTTCTCCAGGTTGGCGCGGATGAGCGCTGTTGTTGCACTCCCATCATTCAGCCTCAGAAGAGGGAAAACCTGTCATGGAAAAAAAAAGTCCCTCTCTGTCTTTTTCTATCATCTCTGCCAGCTGAAAGCCGCTCAGGTCCTCACGCAGCGAGGAACTAGTTAAGCTCTAACCAGTCAGAGTGGGTCCCTGCAGCAGTGGCCCCTCACTGTTTCACTGCTGACAAACTTTTGAGACACACCCCATTGATGAGTTTTATTTCACTGCAGCCCCGCCTGGCTCGGAGGGATTTCTCTGCTGCCATTGGTTCACTTTCAGAACTTACCATACCTGCCCCCTGGCTCTCGTGGACTGGAGCCAAATAGTTCTTCCAGTTGTCAATCACGGGGAGATCAGCCAGTGGGATGAGAGAGGCCAGGCTTGGCGGGTGTTTTCCCCACAGGTGTGGCTGAGAAGCACATTCCAATATGTACATACCTGTCAGCTCCTCTGGTATTCAGCTGCTCCTGGAAAGACCTCTGTTGACCACTCACTCTCCCCTTTCCTCCTCATGGGGCCCACGCACAGGGAGAAGGAAATAGCTCCTGTTTCAGTTGCACAAATAAGCGATTTTCTACCCATGCTGTGCGTATCTTTAATTCTTTCTCAAAGCATACCACTTCCTTTAAAGTTATGATGTCCCATTCAGGAGCAAAACCTTGGTCTTACTACAACATGCACGTATGTCACCAATGATACAGCCATAGTGAAGGACACTAAAGGCTCCATATGTGCCTCGAAGGCTGCTTGGAGTGTAAACACACGGGAGTCACTCAGTAACATGTGAGAACAACATAAAGGCAGCACCATGTTTTACATATCTCAGAGTATTCCAGGAACCACAGACTGCCATAGTTGTATCTCATTATACACCCTGATATGTGGAGTCAGTTAGCAGGTGCAGGCAGTGGCATGTGGCCCCCCCAGCAGAGAATGTCAGATCATCTGTGCCTTGTTTTCTCCCTCTGGAGATCATAAAGCCATAATGAGAATGTGTGTGAAGTGGAGATTTGTGTTGTGTGCTCCCTCTGGTATGCAGGCTTTCTCGACTCCAGCCATTTTCTTTATGTCTTCATCTCTCCCTCTCTTTCACCTCCCTCATCTTTGCAGTGGATCCCTCTATCATTCCCTCTCTCAATTTCTTCCTTTCAGAGTACAGATGTGAACAGTGTGTGCCTCAGGCAGGTGCGGGAATACAGGTTTGCAGCATTCACGGACCTGAAGCAGAGGAGAGCAGCCCATGCCGTGATTACTTTCGGACGAGTCTGTGCATGTGTGGGGCTGAATCAGAGCAGCCACAGTGACTAAGCTCCTCTGTCGCCAGTCACTTACCTAAAGTATCACATCAGATCCTACTTGTTTTATTTCAAAGCATTCCTCAACTCAGAGACAGGCCTGTAACCCTGTTTGTGTCCTCACAATAAGAATCACTGGTATGTGATAAAGTGCTTATTAATGCAAAATATTCATTCTGATAATTGTTGTGCAGTCCAGTTGAGTCAGCAGTTTAGTAACAAAGCATCCTAAAAAAAACCGTGCAGATTAAAAACAGTATTGTGTGTGTCCCTGATTTAAAAAAAAAACAAAAAAAAAAACAAATGCTGACATGTCCCAGGCTGGCTTTCATTATTTTCTGTGTTACGCTCATGTGACACTATGAGCCAGAGCATGGTTTTGCTGTTGGTACACAGAATTTGTTCGCAGTGTGGAGTCAGGGAAAGTTGACTAAATGTGATAAATAAAAGAGATAACTACAGCAGAGGTGCACCGTAATGAAATGAAACTCCTGTGTAATCTCAGTGAGAGATTTTGGTACTGTTCTAGCTTGTTTTTATTTCCTGTTCCCTGGCTCTTTAATGACAGTTTTAATTGTATTTAAATGCCCCTTTGTAATGTGTTTCTTTTGCACTTTGTATGTAAAGTCCTTTGATTTGCTCCGTTGCTGTGCTATACACATAAACCTGCCTTGCCTTGCCTTGCCTGGTACTGACTAAATCTATCACACTTTGAAATGTGCTTAAATTCAACAGTAAATACAAAATAGTTATAATCATTATCAAACGTGAAGTAGGCAAAATTTCAGCTGGTGATGTACAAACAAACACCTGTGTGGTATGATACAAAGCAATCCACTTCAGTATCTGTGCAGTAAATGTTACATAAGCTTGAAATGTACATTTGCAGTTGAGTCTGTGTCACAGACCTGTTGATTCAGCTCTACTGTCATTTTTAAGTGTGTAGTTCAGGCTGCTACTGCATTATATTGTAAGGTGTTTTATTTTGACCACACTCAAACCCATATCTTCTGCATGGAGTCAGTGAGATGCTCGGGCCTCTTTAAAATCCCAAAAGACATACTGAACTTTTTTTTTTTTTTTTTCTCAACGTGACGCATCATTACCTTCACTAGGCTACTTTTTGAAAAATTGAGAAGTTTTGAGAATCACTAGTGAGTATTATTTTGCAGTCAATGAAGTCTACTACAGGGAATGATGCATTAGGTCTGTTTGGATTCTTAGAGACTATAATGGATTGGATATATATGGAATGGATATAACGGATATGCTCTGTATCTGCTCTTGTATTGTGATTTATGTTCTCTGTGTTGATAGTAAGTTCATTCACAGCTCTTCTCCCCAAATCTCAAATTCCAATAGTCTATTAGGATCTCTGTCTTTGGAGATTTATAGCAGTTTTTTAATATCAGTCTAACAGGGAGTAGACCTCTGACGTCTAATTGACCCAAAACACAAGTTATGTCATTATGTAGGATAACATACTGTACATTTCTTTTATATTTATGTTTATTTCATTTAGAAATTGACAGTGCACATTAATTAACATGATCACTTAAGTCACGTAAATGTGCCAGATTTAGCTGCAGTCCCTGGCAGGTTGATGGTGTATGTGTGTGTTAGAAAAAGACATTAAAATAACATACAAAAGCACAGAAGCACAGATAAAAGGGTATTGATGGCATGTTCATAGAAAGGCACATGAGCACAGAGTAAGCATATAACCATAGACAAAAGTACATAGTATGGCATAGGCTATAAGCAAAAACAACAAGATGTAAACGCTATTAATAAAACAATGACATAACTATATAATCAAAAACATTAAGAAGTACCATACAAAAGTACAACATAAAACACAACAAGACCAAAGCACATAGCCACAATCAAACACACAAAAGCACAAAAAGCAAAACGGAAAATATATTTGTCCATACATAACCTATACAACTTTAAAAACCACTCGACACTTTTCTACAAATTGTGGGCTGATAAGATCAGAAAACAATAAAATGATGTATTTTTAAGGGAAACTATTGACTTTTCAGTGACTTTATTTCCACATATACAGCAGTGAGGTCTGTGGGACCCCAAACAATGATGAAGTTAGTGTAAACAGAACACAACATAAGGGTGTGACTGACCTCAGTAGGAGTTAACAGAAGGACATGACAGGTGCGGGTGTCACTACTGATTATAAGAAAAAAACTTAATGATGATTGTTCAGGCTATCTGTACCTGTGTGAACGAATCTATGTTATCGATACCTCTATGACACATTTGCTCTGTCCACACAGACCCATAGTCCATAAATAAAACAGCCCTATGATATGGCACCATATGGTCATTTGACACCCAGACCTCCTCTCTCATGATTCTGCTTGTGTTTGTGGGAAGAGACAGAGAGGACGAATCAGGATCAGGATCAGGGGTGTCTGTAAGAATTCCAGGGCCTGGGCTGGGAGGAGGCTTTTCAGATGGTTGCGAGGGCTGTTCGGGTCCTGAGGCTGTGTTCTGTCACCAGGGATAAAGACACTGTCGAGTGA